AATTATCAGAGTAGATCACAACCAACCAATCCACGACAAGAGGGAACTTTCTTGATGGACAGCAAGAAATTAGAGTACATCTATGTAGAGTGAATATTCCTTCAGAGGCCACATGCCCAAAGTCATGTTGCCATTCAGACATACCCCAGCATAACAGAGAAGCACCTGTGAAGACATGGAAATCAGTTTTGGGGTGGGTGCGAGAAGGGGATGCCCACTATGGTATTTGCATGCTTGAGCAACCAAGACAAGACCTTGAGAAGAGGATAGGTGCACAGCAGATTCCAAGGGTTCCACTGGTCTTACAATAGTTTGAGGAAAATCAGTCTTTAAAAGCGAGAGGGTGCAGGGTGTAAAAGAGAAGACAAATCTTGGTGAAAAGACATTCCACTGCTCATAGGTGAAAGCTGAACGTAATTGATATGGAAGTTGAAGAATATGACCAGATGTACCAAACATAGGGTGTGCATGAGAAAATAATGCAGGTAATAGAGAAAGAATTATCTCAAGAAGGGACAAGGAAAAGACAATAGTCCATGTAATAATGAAATGTTAGCCACAATCTGTGAATAAGGTGGGCAAATGCCCCATGACCTAATTGAAAATATAAGGAGCAGATGCAATGTCAAAAGGAAGGGCATGGAATTGGAAGACCTGATCCTGATGAACAAAACAAAGAAAACATCTGGAGGATGGGGGTGACTGGAATGTGTGAAAGTGTCCAAAATATCAACCTTGGTCAGCCACAGTACAGGTGAAAAGAACCCCTCAATATAAAACCGATGGATTACAAGTTTGGTTTGAATCTATAATTTAGCAGTGATAGACTAGAGGGAAAGCAGCTAGTCAACACCACCCACTGCCAATTCTTGGGTTATTCTTTTACCAATGAATAGTAGAATTGACCACCACATTATACTGCCCCAAAGCTGAATGGGTGAGTAGGTTCAGTGACAAGAATTTGAACCTGCAACCTTCAGATTACAAATCAAGCACCTTAACCATTAGGCTATGCCAGGCCCTGGATTATAAGAAATTGGTGAAAAGATGATGGGTTGATAACTAGATGCCAATACTTGGTCTTCTTGGGACCACAAAAAAGACGAGAATAATGAACATGTGTTGGAACAAATATTGTCTTGATGGAATTAATAGCCAAGAGAACAAGACAACATCCTCAAGGTAATAAAGATAAAGGGGACAAGAGAGAAGAGGAGAAGAGAGGAGAAATAAGCTGTGGGTGAGAACCTGAAGAACCCATCTGTCTGATGAAAATGGAGACAAATGATTGGCTAAGAGAGACAGACGGGGCTCCCACAGGGACAGACCTGAAAAAGAAAACATCACCAAGATGAGTGACGACCCTGATATTAGGGAGTGGAAGAACAAGAAGGAAAAAAAAAGCCAGGAAGCTGAAATGGGAAGGGGAGACATGGATTCAACAAGACTAAGAACAGGATGCAGATGTTGAAAAAGACACAAAACTAAAGTAGACAATGAGGACTGATGCCAGGTCACCCCAGCTTGGGTCTCCAGAAGACCTTTGGGCAAAAAAATGGAGCCAATAAACATCATGGTAATAAGCATGATATGGAGGTATATATTAGCTAGGAGAGCACCCTGTCTCCACAGCAAAGAAACCAAATAAGGAGGGATAGAGCAGGAGACAAAGTATGGGCCAATTTGGTAAAAAAAGGATAGAGCAGGAGACAAAGTATGGGCCAGTTTGGAAAAAAAAGAACAAAACTTTCCAGAAAACTGCTCCAGAGAACAATGAAGTGCCTCAGATATAAAGTAAAGTGACTATAGGTAACAAAAGGTGATAAGAAAGAAACAAAGATGTAAAAATTGGGCATTAAAAAGGGATTTAGAAATTAAGGAGTCTATCCCCCAAGCAGGTAAAAGAGATTCCAATGAGTAGGAAACAAGGAATAGAAATGAAGAAAGGCTGTAAGCCAGCACAAAATAGTCAAGTAAATAAGGAGGATGAGGCATGTTAGTATGGATGTGCAGTTGTCTGACACTAATGTAAGGTAAAGGAAAGAAGACAAAGTAGTCTTGAATATGGGTTTAATGAAGTAAAGCATGGCAGGAATCAAAGACAAGGGGAAAGAAAAAGAAAATAACATACCTGTAAACTCATGTCAAGTACCTATCAAAAATATACTTTCAGTGTAGGAAAATATTAACTTCCAAAATGTTATCTTACATTCACACATACAATAGCTAGAATCCCACACCGAAGGGCCGGAGTGACTGGTGCAAACGTTACCTAGATGAGAAACCTTCCAAAGAATGTCCGTGGAGAGTTACCTCTCTTGAGAGAGGAACACACCTGTAAGGAGACTGCTCCACAACTGTACCAGGTATACTCCTTGCCCATGAAGTAGTAAGTGTTGCATCATTAGGTAGAAAATCAGCTTAGCACGTCCAAGACTGCATACATGTTGGTTGGCCCAGCCCAACATCAAAACTGTACTTGGGGGTGGGGGGTCAACTCCAGTCCAAAACCAGATGGCATCAGGTATTTATCTTCTGGTCTACAGTTGGAGGAGGGTCCCTACCATCTTCACCTAAGCTTATAAGACAAAAAGAATAATGTTCCAGCCCATCTGTTTGGACAAGGCACGTGCACAAATCCTCAACCAACACCAACCATTTAGGAATCCAGCATCTGAGTGATAGTAGGCACTGAAGTACCCATGTGGTGGTTAACTCAAATCCAAAACCAAACGGACTTCTTGTTCTTTGTCCAACTCAATGAGTAACCAGAACTTATGAGTAGCAACCTGCAGGTGTATACTGAGGATACTCCAGCCAACCAAATTACCTATCAGCCAGTCCAGCCCCTTGCAACACCAAATTCCCAAGCCTCAGCTTGATGAAGGAGGTACTAGTATATCATGTCTATGATAGGATGAGAGCTTACTACCAACACACACATGAGGACTTATGTTGGCTGGGCCAGCTCTTAATCTAAAACTTACCATTCAGGAACCACCATCCGGGTGATGGGTCCCTATTTGAGGGATGAACTGCATTTCGGTAGATCTATTCCAGTTTATGAATAAGTGGGAGGATTCACACCACCTACACTGGCAGAACATCACTGCCCTAATGTTTACAGAATGGGATTGATCACATTAAAGAAGAAGCATCCCCAGTGGCTAGGAACTGGTAAGTAGTATGGACTCCTGTAGTACACTTGCAGAAAGAGGGGGGGGGGGAAGAGAGAGAGAGAGAAACATGATGGAGAAGCCAGAGGAATGCTACATTGAAGACTGTGCAGTTGGTTACCATGGTAACTCCATTTTAAAAATCAGACGATTCTTGACTTATTCAATTGTAGGAGCAGCTATCCCCTTCTGCTTTGTTCATGGTAGTTCTTGAATGGAATGGGCATAATTATGCAATATACCACAAGGTGAATCTACTAGTGGTTTCATGGAACACCCCCATCTTGACAGTATACGTTATAGGCCTAGAGAGAAGTACACATATAAATTGACAGGTTAAGCCCCAGAAGTTTGATCTAGTGGGGGCTCCAACCAACCATTCAACTGGTCCAACCCTTTGGTACAAAGTGGATTTTGCAGCTGATAGCCAATAAGTATACCTAGACAGCACCCCCCCTGGAGTATAAATGAGAAATGGGAAGGAAGTCAGCATAAAAAAAAGTTGCCCTCATGAGCTGCTGATGTCTTGGAAAGGAAGCTGCAACTTGGATAAAGGAGAACATAGGTGTAGTGGTAAAGAGTGTGTGAAACATAGATGGCGAGGATGTCTAACCTCTGATGATCACAGGCCAAGAGTAGTAGGAAATAGGTTTTAAGGGATAAATGGTAGAAGTTACAGGTGGCTAAGGCTTGAAAGGGAGGATGGATAAGGATGTACAGAACAACATTAATATCCCAATCTGGCAATAATGTAGGGCGAGGATGATTGATCCAGAAGGAACGTTACAAAATGGAAATGGTGGGAGAGGTAAACACTTTACTGTACCTGGTAAAATGGAAAGTGTTCAACAAGGCTGCTTGATATTCTGCTATGTTAGAGGGCAGCACTGAACAGTATTGAGAAAGTAACTTGCATCAGGAGTGTGACGTACTCATATTGGTGGAGGGTTGCCACATGTTTAATTGCATGTGAAGATGCAGTAGAACCACATTGAACATGGGGTAGGTGGTAATTTCAAGGCTAGTAGCACATATAGAGAGCAACACTGAATGAAAGAAGCTTGTTTGTTTGTATGTTTTTAACTAAGCACAAAGCTACACAATGGGCTATCCGTGCTCTGCCCACCACGGGTATCAAAACCCGGATTCTAGCGCTGTAAGTCCGCAGACATACCACTGTGCCACTGGAGGGCATGAAAGAAGCTATCATGTGAGTTGACGTAAGATACTGTGTCAGAAATTAGAACTAATTCTAATAAATTTAGTTGTTACAATTTTTGGTATACTGTATGAAATTACGAAAAAGTTTATGAGATTTATACAAGTTTGTTTTTCATTTAATTGTGCATATGGCTATTGATGAATACTGGACCCTGAAAATTACAACTGTTGGCTACTGAAACATCAGACAACTTAATTTTTAAAATTTAGTAGGTGTGTTCTTTCGAACACTTTTACTATTTGTAATAAAAGAACAAAAGGTAATCTTGCAGAGAATTCTAACACATTAAGGAAGTTACGTTCACAATGACTCTCACAACATCTTGTTTAACTGGTTGTTAAATATGTATATATATTAAATGATAGATCAGATGTTACACTGTTTAAAAACAAAAATTATCTATCTTTGCTGATATGATTTTGTATAGTATATCACAAATTTTTTAATATATTGTTTTTATTATAGAAATTATTCTAAAAACATAGATCTTTTATGTTAAGAGAGTAAAGTGTTATTCATAAAATACACAAGTACTGAACCAGACATAACTTCTTCCTCACTGATTATATTACTATATGATAGAAGGAATGGCAATGACTCACCTGTCAAGTTTGGCACTGTGGATTGGGCTACAGCTGCACTAAAAGTTGGCACACGAGATGTGAGAATATGAGACCGCCGAGATGCTATATCTCTTAAGACATGTGGTTCTATTCCATCAACAGGAGTGGTAGCAGCACTATTCTGTCCAGAGAAGGAGTACATGTTGGCAACACCACTTGTGGTACTACTACAATGAAGTCGGTACAGAGGACCTAGAAAATAAGATCTAGCTTGACACAGAGATAAAAAACTTTATACTAAAAAACATCGGGTTGGAAGAATTATATAAAGTCTAACTTCATACCTGTATTTACACTTACTAAATTGTTAAATAAAAACACAAAAGTTAACACCGCCTTTTCTAAAAAATAAGAACTACTACAAATTTGATAATCAATACAACTGGTTTCTGTTACTCACATATGTAATTTAACCAAACACATCATATGACTAGTGAGAAATTTATAACCAAACTAGAGGGAATCAAGACCAAAAAAATATTTTGATATCTGTTGTTCTACATTCAAATAAATGTGTCAAATTTGCTTCAGAATAACTTCATCATATCTTAATAACTAAGCACGTATTTTTGACCCTTACAGAACCAGATAATGTGGAAGTCTATTATCATATATTTGTTATCATAAATTTATGACTTAGTTTCTAGTCTATTTCACTGAATAAACAGTCTTGTAATGTCTCTCCATTCATCTGCATTAGTGATGTCCAACAGGAAAGTTACCCACTTATATATCAAGTTATCAAATTACATTCAAAACACTTTGACAAAATAAAATAACTCACACCTACAGGCAGGAAAATACAAAAACTACATCTAAACAACCACTAAGGCCAATGAAGAATTTGAATCTACCCAGGTTAGTCAATCCCAGCTCTTTTTGAAGACATTTCTCAACCAACTAACTATACAAGTGACTAAAAAAAATAGATTATGGACCAAACTTTCTCAAAACTGAAGTTATCAAATTAGGTTTCTCAGTTTGAAATAGTGGAATTTGTTTTTTAATTCTTAAGCTACTACACAAAAGTAATATATCAGTCAGTTATGAAATGTAAGGTAGTTCCCATAGCATGCTTAAATATTAATGGTATGCACCTTGTTGTCTGTCTCAAGTTTACAAAGTTAACATTTTCCTTATCCGAATATGTCAGATGAATAATCACCTCTCGCAGAACAAGCATCTACCAAGAAGATTTTTGTGCAATTCATGAGTCTTGAATGGAATTTCCTCCCCTACATGTATTAAAGTGGACTGCACCAGCATATGATGTAATCATCATTAGACATATAGTCCTACATCAATAAGATAAAGGATGATACATTCTCCATGAAACACACCAGAAATGGAGAGGAAGAGTTGATAGTTTTGTAGAGAGGTATGTACTTTAAATACATTTTCAGGTAAATAAAATGTTAATTTCAGAAATGGTACTCACCTCTCTGTAAAATAAATAGCTAAAATCCTACAATGATAACATGCTCCTTTCTAAAATTAGAGCACCACATCATAATGGAAAAGTCCATGTGGAGGGGGTAGTTTAGTAGAGCATCATTCAGTAGGAGACTACATCTTTCTCTAAAGGGAATACTCTTCCCCAATAAAGGGGGGTAGAAGAAAAGGTAAATTGAAAAGAACCACATCTATGATACTAGTGTTGTATAACTAGGCAGTATCTTGGATGGCTAGCAAGGCATGTATATGTAATGTGGTTAAGGCAACAAGTCAGGCCATACAATATTGGGAAGAATCATCACAGAATTCCATCAGAAAGGAGAACACAAAGCTGATCCAACTGACCTAACCACTGGGAATAGTTGGGATCTTAATGTAGGAAATGACCCGTACTACATTTCCAGATAAACTCCTGACTCTACTTCCCATCAAGGGGTGTATCTATTCATATGCATTCCAGTGGGATTACGTCAACTCAATGGGGAACTTTCCATGTGGATATCCTCAGCAGTTTTGGCCTGGGGAAGCAAAGATTCTTTCATTATACCATTTCAATTAAAAAAGGGGTAATGTACATAGGGAAGAAAACTGGAGAAGTATGTAAACTAAACAGGAATTTTCTAACATGTGCATAAGATCCTACACTAAAAACTGTGCAATAGGTGATAAAAAAAATAGAGACAGCAGGTGCTAGCCAGGTGTGAATACAGGTCTGCATTTGGTGTCTCTTTTATGAAGTATGGCCCGGTGGGGGGGAATTATATATATATATATATATATATGTATGTATGTATGTATATAAACACTGCTGAAGCAGTCTTGGGAAAAACCCAACCTCAACAGTGAGACTGAGTAGGGGCAGTGGGGTTAACAATTTCTGTTATCAATCACACTCCATCTGAACAGTGGATGGCTTATCGAATTTTGTAAAGACATACATAGTAAATTCAGAAATATAATAAATATTACTTCTTCAATATGGACATCCTGCACAAAGTGTTAAACACAACAGGATAGCAATTATTTATATTTGTCATCAGAGATTATTATTAAGCTTACTACATGTTTTAATACTGCATTCTTTATCTAGTCCCTAAAGGATTTTCAAGGATTAGAAGAGTTTATAATGATAGCATTCCAACCACAATGTTCACCATATCTATTGCTGTTGATGTATTTCAATCAATCCAAAGTTCATCAGGCCAGCTTGGACAGAAAAAACATAGGAGTGGTAAAAACACTAAAAGACATCTGTTACAACAACAACTGTTGTGGAGTAAATGTATTATTAAACAAAAAACAATAGGTCTAATACTAATGTCTGATGACAAGCATAATTAATTATAAGCATATGTTGCTAACTTAGAAAGGTGTTCACACCATAACAAGAGAACATTTGCAGTATGTGCAATTTCACAGCCAGACATAAAAAAACCCATACTGTCATCATCATCTATGGGTAAGGGTAGCCAACAATATATTAACACACAACAAAAGCAAAAAATTATTCACCATGCAAGAAAAGCAGTCAATAAATAGCTACACTGTACTTCTTTCTAGAGGAAATCACATTTAGTTCATACGATCAAGGAAGTTATGAACACTACAGTATTTTATCTCCCTCTACACACACACACACATATATATATATAAATCTTATATCTCCACTGCATAGATAATATTAACACTCTTGCTACGGGCTTAGTCAAATCAACCAAGTTTGTATTGTGTATCTTCAAGAAATTTTGCAAGCTTTCAATAAGAATGAATTCTTTTGCAGACAAAAAATCAGAATTTGTAATGAGGTATTTTCACTAAAAATTTCTTCCTGTATATATCGAATCAAAGTCTTGACTATTCCAAGTGCAAAGTGATTTTCATATTAACATAAAATATATTTTTCATCTGAAGATTGTCAGATTTCATTTGCATAATCTCTAAAACATCCAAAATAAATTTAAAATTTTTTCAAAATACAAAATAAATCTAAATTGTCCTTTTTTCTTTCTAGAATGACTTTAAATTGTAACATGAAACTACATTTCTTGATGCTAAATAGCTTAAAACTCATAGCATTATACATCAGTTTCTACTTAAATTTCATTGTTTTGTTGCCCATTGAACTGTTTCAAACTCAGGGGTGAGATTCTGCAGTACTTATTTTTTAAGGCGGTACCAATACCAGGACATATTTGAGCTGCTTTGATGTTTTTATGTTAACAGCGTAATTTTTTCTTTTCTTTTTCAAAAATAGGTCCACTTCACATAGCTGAGTACCTCTATTTTTTTGACAATTTCACACCTGGTCTAGCTAACAATCTTGCTACCCAAGTTTTAAATAACTTGGCAAACATGTAGCTCACATTATTCTATTGAATTACATAACACTCATGAGCATACCTTGTGAAAATTTTTTATTATTATTCTATATTTTACCTAACCTAAAGTAGTTATTTTCCTAAACTGAATATAGATTTCCGATGGGTAATCACACCTTTCACATGTGTGTGTGTGTATATATATATATATAGCTGTTCTCATTCAGTGCTGCCCTCTATACACAAACAAATTTTTGCATGCCACAAGCCTTGAACTCCCAAGTACCCCAAAATCAATATGGTTCAACTGTATCTTGCATGTAAATCATCATGCGACAACATTCCACAAAAAGGAGTGTGACACACCCTCCTGAAACATGCAACTCCCTCTATAACCAACTATCACTTCAAGATTAGACATATGAAAATAATAACTTCCGATTTGGTACATTACCTCTATTCACAAGTATAGCTAAAATTCCACATTGAATAGTTGGAGGGACCGGTGCAAGAAAAAGAAGGAAGTATCCTTCAAAAGTGTCTCAAGAACACCCATGAAGTGTGATTCCCATTGGTAAAGGAACACATGTGAGAGACTGCACCACTTCTGTACCAGGTATACCCTGTGCCCAGTGTGGAAATAGGTGTCGCATAAATGGATGGAAAGTGGGAGGAGCAGAACCAAAAGGGAGAGACAACTGGTTGGGTTGGAATCTGAACCAAAGTATACAGTAATATCAATCCCATAGAAGAAAAACTCCAGAAGAACCATCTACAAACAGGAATGTGAGAAAAGCTAATATGGATGTGGCTAGGGTATGATGGACTGTACATGGCCAGTCAACTCCCATCCAAAACCAAGAAGCATTAGGGATAAAACCTCCAACCCGTGGTAGAAGGATGGTCTATACCATCTCAACCTTAAGAAGGGATGCGTATACTGAGTAAACCTATCAATGAAACAAACAAATGTATGCAAATCCACAAACAACCACACATATGGGAACTCAACATCCAAACGATGGTAGGATGAGATGTGACAATGTAACAGGTCACATCAAACTCAATCAGACTGGCACCCCACTGCACAACATCAGCCTCAGGCAATAAAAACACACTGAGGTGGAGAGCGAGAGGAAGAACCGAAGCACTGATCAACATTATCTTCCTGATAGAACCACACAGAAACTGAAAGGCAACACAACCTTCTGGATCCCACCATACAGAAATGCATCACCACTAGAAGTATATAGCAACAGCACAGAAACTGGGTGCAACATCAACCTCCAGGACCAACTGCAAATAGGTGGAGATCCTGAGGCAACTTGAGTAAGGAAGAGGAAACACAACCAACACATGTGTGAGGATTTATGTTGACTGGTCCAGCTCTAACCCATAATCACTCACTAGGAACCAACA